TTTTCATTTAATCCAATTTGATCCTGATTCTGTTTTTAATTTGTTTAATGCCTTAATTTGAGCATTAACTTTAAAATCTTTTATTCTAGTCATGTATTAAATTTATAAACTATAGTTAATATTTTTTATATATTTAGGAATCGATTAAAATTTTTTTTATATATTATATATTATAGTTGATGATAGAAATAAAAATAGACAAGGGAGGACTTAAAGCTAGGCCAATTGAGAATATGATAACACTTAAATTGCCAAAAAAAATCTAATATATTATTTATAATTAATTTAAATTTTTAATATTTTTAAATTAAATTTATTTCATATTTATTTATTAATGATTATATATATGAAATTATATTTAAAATTAAATTAACAATTTGTTTAACATACCCGAATAAGGATAGGCATGGGTCGAGTCGGATTTTCGATCCACTCAACCTGACCTGACCTGACCTGAAAATTATAAATCCTCCAACCTACCCAGTATTCTGAGATAAAATTCAAATTCGACCCGACCCGATCAAAATAATATATTTATTTATAAATATTATTTTTATTCAATAAAAATAAGGATTTAATTGAAATAAAATAATATATAGAGGGGTATTATTGCAATTTTCCCTAAATATATAAGATAAAATTATAATTTTTTTGGGTTAGGTCAGATCGGGTATTTTTCACCCTAAACTCGAACTCAACGCAACCCGAACATAACCATTAGAAAACCCGATCTGAACCTGGATTTTTAAAAAAAAATCCAACTCGATCGGATCATGTTGGGTCCATGCTCGTTAGGTTTGGGTCCCATGCCCCATCCCTATACCTGAACTCACGAACACAATTTAAAATCTAAATATAAATTTATAATTTGAATCTTAAATAATTTTTCTTATGATTATAATTTGAAAATTAATTATATTTTAATGATTTCATATATATATAATCATTAAAAAATAAATATGAAAACAATAAATTTAATTTAAAAATATTAAAATTTTAAATCAATTACAGATAAACTATTAGATTTATTTTAGTGATTTAAGTGTTGTTATATTTTCAATTGACTTAGATGTAGGTTCTCAACTATTTGTTTTTATTTTTCCTATCATTAACTATAATATATATATATATACACACACATACATATAATATATTTTAATTTTTTCTGCCTAAACTTGAATAAACATATGTATTATCTCAATAATAAGTGTGAGAATTAAAAATTTATCAAAACTCATTTTCATTTATTTTCACTTCAATTCAAAAGGTGACATGTGTCACCTTTTGATTGGATTGAAAATTTATTAAATTAATTAAATTGCATTATACAAAAGGTGAAATACGTCAGAATTTGATTAGAGAAATTAATTAATTAAATTAAATTAAAATTAGGGCCTAATTAAAAATTAAGAATTAAAGTTAATCTTGGTGATCAAATTGATTAATTCTAAAATCTAGGGGATCTAATCTATAAATTTAATACATGACTAGAATAAAAGATTTTAAAGTTAATGCTCAAATTGAGGCATTAGACAAATTAAAAACAGAATCGGGATCAAATTGCATTAAATGAAAATCTAAGGAAACAAATCATATACAAGTACTGGCCAAAATGGAAGAAAACAAAGCAGGGTGTCAGCGCAGTAAATACATAACTTTACAAGGACTCGTACCCTAATTATATTAATTTTATTAATTGTCACTTAAATACTTTCGTTAAATGTTAACATCATGTGGCTATATTAAAACTATTTAAATAGTTTTGTGGTCATATTGATATAAATTTAAAAATAGTGATAATTTCGTGACCCGCCCTTAGGTATGTGATCATTTACGCAGTTTACCCAAAATAAAAATGGAAAAGAGCTTTACCGTGCAAGCAAGTTAAAGAGCATTATGAAGTGCCTGATTCCATTACCCTATCCTGTTAGATTTTCCGTGCTTTACGAATCGCTTTCCACCCAACCAATCACTACCACCAGCTGTACCCTCTCTCTTTCTTTCTTGGTTGCAAAACTAAAATAAACATTTACTCCTTATAAATTCAAACGAGCTAAGTGAAAAAAAGTATCATAATTAATAAGACAAATATAGATCAACCTTGATTGAGTGGACCACGTGGCATGTTTAAAGGCAAACACTACTTGGGTTTTATAAAAGTTGGACAAGGTCAGTGCTTGTAAGTAAACATCATAATTATTTTTAAAACTTTCGGGGTATAGTTATCATTTTTGCATTAAAAAGTGATGAATAACCTTAGTTTTGTTTGACGTGGCATGTGGTTATTTGGGGGGAGATGACGTAATAATCGTGTGGTTCAATTGAGTTCGCCTCCTTTGTCTATTATTTCTTTAAATTCACGTTGCTTTCAAAACCCATCCTTAATTATTACAGATTCATGATAATCAAACTTGGGGTTTCTTGATTCGGATCAAATCATAAATCTGTGTTTGGTTTACGGAACGTAAGATTATCAGTAGAAATGTAAGATTACTAGGGAATAAGATTACTGAGAATGTTGTATTTTATGTTTGTTGGTTTAGCAGAAATGTAAGATTATTGTGTTTTGTTAAAAGAATAAAAGATTATTGAAATGTATATTTGACCAAATTATTCTTATTATATATTTGTTTTTTAATAAGTTGAAAAATATTTATATATTTTCTTTAAAAAATTTAAATTCATAAAATTTATATATATTTTTTTACAAAATTAAAAATATAAAAAAGTTTAACGAAAGGGTAAAATTTTATTTTAACCCCTTAATTTCATATAAAATTTTAATTGTAGACTTTTTTTTGTAAATCTAAAATAGTTTAAGGATAAATTTGTAATTTAACCTTCGTATAATTTTTATTATTCAATGATAGAAGAAAGATATTTTTGAAAAAAACAATTAAGGACATTTTAGTCCAAAACGCCGGTAATCCAACAATACCTAAGGAAAGGGAGGTAATGATATTCCCGGTAATATACCCAAAAAAAATTTACTATTGGTAATAAAACATTATCGGGAATGAGATTCCTGACCAACCAAATATGGAAATGTGGATTCTATTCCCATGAGAATCTCACATTCCTTGATCCAAACACCCCCTAATGTTATTACAAATTCGTGAATTATTAATTTTATTATATTATATTAAATATAGAATTTAATAAGAATCTTATAAAAATATATTTTTTATAATAATACCTTTGAATTTAATATTGAGTAATTCAAGATTCAGTTTTTCCACAAAAAATAAAGATTGACAGGACATGTTATTTATTGTCCAGGTCCACAGCATTACATTGTAATGTATTCTTGTTGGTTAGTTTTGCTAAGCTTTCTTTTGGGTTTTGCTTTGGCATTCCTACACACAACCACTGTCTATTTAATCAAAAAATTATTATATATTACCATCAGGGGACGAATACAAGAGTTTACATAAAGGTAAAAAATATATATTCAAAGTTTTAACGATATAAAATTATAAAATTTTAAGTATGAAATTAGATAATAAATAAAATAAAATTTAAAAATTTTAAGAGGCGCGACCGCGCTCTAATATCCGTTCGATCCATCTCTTATTACAATGCAAATTTCGAGTATAATCTACATAGAACGGAGATGTTATGTCGCAACACTTACAATAATTTTGATTTTTGAAAAACATGAAGTTTTCTGTCTAGCAGGGGCATGGGACCATTGATGTTCCAAAATTATTTGTAAAATAAAATTATTTCTACTTATTTGTTTGGTACATTATGAGATAATTTGATTTATACTTTTAGATTTTTTTTAGTATAATATAGAATCATAGATGAAAATAATGTAATAAATATGATAGGATACCCTTCAACTAATTAAATTTTGTAACTTTGAATAACGATTTGACGATAAGATACAGAAAAATATATTAAAATATCATATAAGATCCAGCTTAATACAGAAATAATATTACTTATTAAAAAGTTTATATAGGTATATATAAAAATTTACAAAACTTAGTTCGTTTTTTTTTTGTTTATAATTTTTAGAACCATCTTTTAGTAGAAGACGGTATTATTTTATTTTGAAGATTCAAATATGAGTAATTGTATTTATAAGTAAGGACGGAGCCAGATTTTTAACTTAAGGGGATAAGGTATATCTAATAATAGTAAATGAGATGTACAACATCAAAATAAACCAAAAATTGGAGGGTAAAATCAAAATAAACCAAATTGGAAGGGCAAAATACATGTTTTTCCCTATATATATTTTTAGTAGTAAAAAATTAGAAGGGCAATGGCTACCCAAGCCATACACATGGCACATGGCTCCATCTCTATTTATAAAGTGTATACATTATTAATAGATAAATAAAAATATAAACATATATTATATTATAATCACGAACCTAAACCATAAAATCTCTAAATAATGAGATGAGGAATTTTCTTCAAACAAATATCGCATGACTTTATTTTTTTAAAGTAGGATGTTATCTATAGTAGATTAAAAAAAGACGTATAAATCATTTGATATTTTCATGAAAACGGAAAACTTGGTGTCTTTCCAATTTCTATGCAAGACTTTAGGCATGAAAATGGTGATGTCGTTATTGGTGTCCTCAAACTGACGAAGAAGTTAGTCGAAGATGGTGAATTGACACATTTTTTCGAAAATTTTGGTGATGATTATTGGAGCATAAGGCACGAGAGCTAATGTGAGTGTCTTTGATCAAATATCAAAAGATAAAAAAAATAAATTAAGAACTTCTCATATTTAAAAATCAATAATTTCTCTAACACATAATATTAACGAATTTACTTTCCCACTGTATTATCTCAATAAATTTGTACACTTCATACTATATTAACTCATCATCTAATTATTTCATAATAATAAATATTTTAATATTATCTCAGTACCCTCAGCCGGCGCCACCACCATCGTTTTCTGGACCCGTCACCTTTGTTACCTTTTATTTCTCCGAGTAAAATTTTCATGTCTCTCTAATTAGATGATGAGTTGTATTGTATACTGCTTGTCATCTCCTTTTTTGTTACGTTTCCATATTTCAACACTTTCTCTCTCTGAAATTGCCATTTTAGATTGAGACGAAAGCTGCCAACCAGATTACACGGAGCTTGTTTCTCAATCCAAACAAAAACCCAGACTCCTTCTCTCCTCTCTTCTTTTTGCCTTTGCCTTTTTATTTTAAAATCATATTTGTTTATATATCATCACTCAAAGGCTTCCCTTTTCCCAGTGGAACTGCAGTTTGGGTTTTTGTCTGATGGGAGGCCAAGGGTCCAATTTTTTTTCAAAGGAAGTTGTTGGTACTCGTATTGTATTTGACTTCATTCATTGAAGAAGTGGAGACCGAGTTTTTCTGAGTTGGGTTGTTCTTGTTTCTTTTGTTGGTGTACCGAGTTATGGACACCGGAGGTCGACTCATTGCTGGTTCTCACAACAGAAATGAGTTTGTCTTGATCAATGCTGATGAAAATGCAAGAGTAAGACATTCCAAATCTCACTCGAAAAAAAAAACTTTATCAGCTTTTTTGGCCTTATTTGTTAATTTAACGAATCCAATTTGCTTGTTTTACTGCTTTATGAAATAAGTTCGATCCTCTTTCTTTTTTGTGTTTATTCCTAAAAATGTGTAAATTTACTCTCTCTCTCTCTCACTTTGTTTTATCTGGATTTCACTAGAAATGTATCAAGTTAGGGTTTTTTAAGGCTAAATCTACACAAGTGCCTCTGTCTTCCTATTTTGAGAGTTAAATCTCTATTATTGTCATTTACTTTTCTTTTTTCCCCTGAAGGATGCAAATGTTGACTTGTTCTAGTGTCACTTGATTAATAAGCATTTTCCAGAAAAAAATCGTTATGTTTGTTGATTCAGCCTTCAGGTGAAGGACTTGTTTCTTTTTGGTGTTGTTAATTATATGGTTTCTGGTTTTATTAGGAGAGCCTAAGATTTATCTTTTGCATTTAAGATTTTGGTGTTCCTTTAGTATAGATTCTGGAAATTTTGGCACCAGTTGGAAGAAAAGAATAAGATTCTGTTTCTGGTGTAAATGTTGTCCGTGCCAAACTGTGGATTCTTCAGAAATATCCAAATCCTCTGGAAATTGACCAATGGATGCTGTGAATTTATTGAAAATGCTGAGCTCTGCACTTCTTGGAAATATTAATTAGTTAAATTCTGCCTCGTTTCTAAGTATCGTAAGTAAATGGAAATGAAGTTGTAAATTATCTCTACAAAAAGATAAGCAAATTGTTGCCTTTGATTGATAACTGGTCAAGTTTTGATGTGACTAACTAGTTAGTTTCTAGTACTTTCGAGCATTTCTGAAATTCGATGAGAACCATTGTCCTTCAAGGCTGTGGATGTAGAACATTCATCAGCAATCTTAATTTGTTGTGGCATGTAGTTGTTTATAAGTATTGATGGCATTCTCTTTATGATTGTGGTTTTTACCAGATAAAGTCCGTGAAGGAGTTGAGTGGTCAAACGTGCCAGATTTGTGGAGATGAGATTGAGATTACAGTAGATGGGGAGCCCTTTGTCGCCTGCAATGAATGTGCTTTCCCTGTTTGCCGAACCTGCTATGAATATGAGAGAAGAGAGGGAAACCAGGCTTGCCCTCAGTGCAAAACCAGATACAAACGAATCAAAGGTGAGATTTTTACTGCAAGTATTGGTATACGTTGGCAACCAAAACTGAGTTAACCATTGTCCCTAACCAATGATGTAAACTGCAGGCAGTCCTAGAGTTGAAGGTGACGAAGAAGAAGATGACATAGATGATCTGGACAATGAGTTTGACTATGACACTTTGGATCCTCAACAAGTTACTGAGGCTATGCGTACTGCACGCCTAAACATGGACCGTGGTTCCCACCTTAATGCTTCCGGAATCCATGATGAACTATATTCTTCTCCTCCTAGCTCTCAAATTCCTCTCTTGACCTATGGCGAGGAGGTTAGTCTCTCGTCTAATCTCTCAATTTATATGAATTTCCATATTATGGATGCCGTCTTTTTACTCTTTATTGCACAGGAAAAAGTTGCATTTATGAGAATGGTTTTATTGTTTTAGGGATTGGAGATTTCTGCCGATCAGCATGCTCTTATTGTACCCTCGTCTATGGGTCATGGAAATAGAGTTCATCCAATGAGTTATGCTGAACCATCCGTACCCTGTAAGTCATTATCCTTCTGTTTGTCATCGATTCTAAATAAATCCTCTCTAGTCTTGAACCTTATAATTTCCATTGCTGCAGTGCAACCTAGACCGATGGTTCCTGAGAAAGATATAGCGGTATATGGTTATGGAAGTGTCTCATGGAAGGATCGGATGGAGGAGTGGAAGAAAAAGCAGAATGACAAACTTCAGGTGGTTAAGCATGAAGGAGAGGGTGATGGTGGAAACTTTGATGGAGACGAGCTAGATGCCGACTTGCCAATGTGAGTGACTGTTCAAAGTATATGGTTTTAATTTGCTACTGAACTAGTTTCTACAAAACAGTTTTAGGACGGACTTTTTTTCCCCCTGGAATTCTGCAGCAGGGTATCCTTTGTATCATGATGTAGTTGCTTCATCATTTGAAAAACGGTTTGCCTTTTCAGGATGGATGAAGGCAGGCAACCACTTTCAAGGAAGCTGCCGATTCCTTCAAGCAAGATAAATCCATACAGAATGATTATCATCCTTCGTCTTGCAATTCTTGGCCTCTTTTTTCACTATAGACTTCTACATCCAGTCAGGGATGCTTATGGTTTGTGGTTGACTTCTGTAATTTGTGAAATATGGTTTGCCGTTTCATGGATTCTGGACCAATTCCCAAAATGGTACCCTATACAGCGCGAAACATACCTTGATCGACTATCCTTGAGGTTTGTGGTGTTGCCCATTGCTTTTTATGTTTGACATGTTACGATTATTTGACATGAATTTAGATTTTGCATCCATGTTCAATTTTCCTTCATGTTATTTTCAATATGATGTTACTTTATTTGCTAATATCACCTTTATGCACAGGTATGAGAAAGAAGGGAAGCCATCAGAATTAGCTAGTATAGATGTTTTTGTCAGTACAGTGGATCCAATGAAAGAACCTCCACTGATCACGGCGAACACTGTTTTGTCCATCCTCGCTGTTGATTATCCGGTTGATAAAGTTGCATGTTATGTATCAGATGATGGTGCTGCCATGCTCACATTTGAGGCTCTCTCTGAGACATCCGAATTTGCTAGGAAATGGGTTCCTTTCTGTAAAAAATTCAATATTGAGCCTCGTGCTCCAGAGTGGTATTTTTCTCAGAAGATAGATTACCTAAAAGACAAAGTACATCCAACTTTTGTCAGGGAAAGGCGAGAAATGAAGGTATGTGACTTCTTGTCGTGCATTTTAACATGTGTTCTGTTTCATTTCTTTTGTATTTTGAGTTCTAAAAATGATCTGTGGTTTCTAAGTTCTAACTAATCTGAGGTTGCATTTAGTAACTATGGCTTTTGCTCTTGATAGCATGTAATGCTTAATATATTTTAATAAATTATTTGATCATGCAGAGAGAGTATGAAGAATTTAAAGTTAGGATAAATGGATTGGTTGCCACAGCACAGAAGGTTCCGGAGGATGGTTGGACGATGCAGGATGGAACTCCTTGGCCTGGAAACTGTGTTCGTGACCATCCCGGAATGATTCAGGTGAGATGGTGTTGTGTCTGACTTGCTGTAGGGAACACAGCACCATTGATGCTTGCTTTGAAAATTGGGTTTATTTATTTTATTTGTGATATGTCAGAGTAGCTCATGAATCATCTTTGATTCCTTTTATGTGCAGGTTTTCCTTGGTCATGGTGGTGTTCGCGATGAGGACGGAAATGAGTTGCCTCGCCTAGTTTATGTCTCTCGTGAGAAGAGGCCAGGGTTTGAACATCATAAAAAGGCTGGGGCTATGAATGCTTTGGTAAGGCACAAGTTCTTTATGTTTCATGCTCTTTTAGCAGTTAACACTAAACACATGGTTTCAAACTTATGAACTTTTAATTTTTTACTGAAGATACGAGTCTCGGCTGTTCTCTCAAATGCTCCTTATCTTCTGAACGTCGACTGTGATCACTATATTAACAATAGCAAAGCTCTTAGAGAAGCCATGTGTTTCATGATGGATCCAACATCAGGAAAGAAAATTTGTTATGTACAGTTTCCTCAAAGATTCGATGGAATTGATCGACATGATAGATACTCGAATCGGAATGTTGTGTTCTTTGATGTAAGCTTATTTCATTTATTCCCTGCTATTTACCGGTCCTTTCTTTCATCTTTCAAAACCTAATCCCGTAAACCCAAACCAGATCAACATGAAAGGATTAGATGGCATACAAGGACCGATATATGTCGGAACGGGGTGTGTTTTCCGAAGGCAAGCACTTTATGGTTATGACGCACCAGTTACCAAGAAGCCGCCCGGTAAGACCTGCAATTGTTTGCCAAAATGGTTCTGCTGTCTCTGCTGTTGTTCCAGAAAGAACAAGAAATCGAAGCAAAAGAAGACGACAAAGAAAACGAAGCAAAGGGAAGCTTCAAAACAGATACACGCTCTTGAAAACATTGAAGGAGTTTCAGGTAAGGATTTACTTACGAGGGGGCAACTGAGAATTCCATTAATCTAACTGTGTTTCTGTAGTGTGCTTAATATAACATTCTAAACCAGAAATCTGTGCCACTGTCAGAGTCAAACTCTCAGAAGTCATCTGAGACGTCGCAAATGCAACTGGAGAAGAAATTTGGTCAGTCCCCTGTTTTCGTGGCTTCCACTCTTCTGGAGAATGGCGGAGTTCCTCGAAATGCAAGCCCGGCGTCATTACTTAGTGAAGCGATCCAAGTCATAAGTTGCGGTTACGAAGATAAAACAGAATGGGGAAAGGAAGTAAGTAAAAATTGGAAAATTAGAGTATATAATGTAGGCAAGTTTGTAATATATTAATATCTCATAATCATCAAAATTTTGAACTTGCAACTCAGGTTGGCTGGATATATGGCTCTGTGACTGAGGATATCTTGACTGGGTTCAAGATGCACTGTCATGGTTGGCGATCCGTGTACTGCATACCTAAACGACCTGCTTTTAAGGGTTCAGCTCCTATTAATCTCTCAGATCGTCTACACCAAGTTCTGCGATGGGCTCTTGGATCTGTTGAAATTTTCTTGAGCAGACATTGTCCCATATGGTATGGATATGGAGGCGGGTTGAAATGGTTGGAGCGATTTTCCTACATAAACTCGGTTGTATATCCATGGACCTCTATTCCATTGCTTGTGTACTGTACCCTTCCAGCTATTTGTCTTCTTACTGGGAAGTTTATTGTTCCAGAGGTAAGAACCAGTTTTATCTTGTTTTATGCTCCATACCTGATTAAATTCTGCGTGTTTGACTCTTTTTGAGTTGATATTAAAGCACTGATAACTGCTAATTCATCGATGAAGTTTTGTTTCTTTACCGTCTCCACCTGTATGTGTTGTCGATTTTTAACTTCTGCTTATCAACTAGGGCCTAGTCTAAACATTGAATTCCAACACTTGCAGATCAGCAACTATGCCAGTCTTATATTCATGGCACTCTTTATATCGATAGCTGCAACTGGCATTCTCGAGATGCAGTGGGGTGGTGTTGGTATCGATGACTGGTGGAGAAACGAGCAGTTCTGGGTGATCGGAGGTGCTTCGTCACATCTTTTTGCCCTCTTTCAGGGTTTACTAAAGGTTCTAGCTGGTGTCAGCACAAGCTTCACTGTGACCTCGAAAGCAGCTGATGATGGTGAGTTCTCCGAGCTCTACCTCTTCAAGTGGACATCCTTGCTCATCCCGCCCACCACCTTGTTGATCATGAACATAATCGGTGTCGTGGTCGGAATCTCGGATGCCATCAATAACGGGTATGATTCATGGGGACCGTTGTTCGGGCGACTATTTTTCGCCCTTTGGGTTATTATCCACCTCTATCCCTTCCTCAAAGGTTTACTCGGGAAACAGGACCGGATGCCAACCATTATATTGGTGTGGTCGATCCTGCTGGCCTCGATCTTGACCCTTATGTGGGTCCGAATAAACCCGTTCGTCTCCAAAGACGGTCCGATTTTAGAAATTTGCGGGCTGAATTGCGACGACTAGGAAAGTGAAGACAAAAATAAAGAAGAAAAGAGCTTTGGCACTTGAATCATGTCACTTGCAAAGGGCAAAGGCTGTTGTGAAAAGGGACTAGTGTTGTCTTGCGTGGTGGTGGAGAGCAAAGCTGAGATTTTGGTGTTGTGTATGGCAAATAATAAACTATGGTTGGGGTGTGGTAGATAGGGCTGACCACTTTGTTCTTTGTTCTTTGTTCTTTTTTACTACTGTTATTCTTTTGTTGGGAGTTAAAAGGATCCGTGTCCAAAATTCTTTCTTTTTAAATGCTTGTCTCATCTGTTGTAATGTTTGGTCTTGTCCAATGTAATGCTCATAAATCCAAGTTATAGGATCATTTTTAAAATTGTTTCTGAAATGTATAGTTTAATTTATTTTTGGGATTTAGGTTAAAATGTGATTTTGGAAAAATTAAATGTTCACTTTAGATAGATATAGTGTTGTAAATTAAAATTAAATAATTGAGAACGAAAATTATGATTTTACCCCAAAAATGATTTTTTTTATAAAAAATATCGTTAAAAATTACTTTTTCAACTATAATTTTAAATCATATTTTGAGTATTTGAAATTGCTTAGGGTTGGAAAATCATTTTTTCAATTAGCAAAAGCATTTTCAAAATGATTCTAAGTAGGGATGGCAAACATGTACAGTTTCATGGATTTCGCACCGCATCCGCTCCAATTGGAGCGGGGATGGGTATAATTTTAGCGGGTAGTGGGCGGGTGTGGATTTATAAAGTGGTACCCGTCGTGGGTGGTGGGCGGGTAATGGGTTTGAGACATTACCCGCCCCGCATATGCCCGCCCCACATCCGCCCGCCCAACTAAATATCTATTAAATTTTGGACCATTATAAATTTAGGTGTAATTTTAGAGACTAATTTATAAATTTTAATATTGTATAATATATAACATATAATTTAACCAAATAATAAGGATATTTAGTCTTTAATCTGGTCTTTAATTAGGAAAATATTCGGCTCTTTGATTAAACCCATAATCCCACTAACCACGTCACTTTCCATGCTCTTTAGCCCATGCTGCCAATCCAAACACAAATTAGCCGTACTATATGCATTAACATCAAAAGCAGCAGTTTCTATGTTCTTTAGTCCCTCAAAACCCATATTAGGCGCACTATGAGTATTAACATCGAAAGCAACTCAACAATCCAGCTCTACGACTACATACTCCCTATAATCTATCTCCATAACATTCGTAGAGCCACTCCTCTGACAAATTGAAGCATGCGTTGCTACCCCATCACGAACTGTCTGGGAACCAACTCCAACATCCCATTAGTTTGCTGTCAGGCGGGTCTAGATGGGTATGTCGCTAGTGGGTAGTGGGTGTGGGGATGGATTTGAAAATGTACCCGCGTGGACGGGTATGGATTTGAAAATTTGTACCCATCATGGGTGGTGGGCGGTTGGTGGATTGAAAAATATTATGTAGATATGGAGATGGGGAGGGGGTATCCGCACCCGACCCGCCCGTTTGCCATCCCTAATTCTAAGTTCTTTTTATATTTTATTTAGAAAAAATATTTTTTAGTTTTATTTTAGTACCTAAACTATCAGTTTTGGTCTATTTTAATACCTATATTTTTTAATTTTTAAAAATCACACTTAACGTTTAGTTTTTTTTCATTCTAGTACCCACCGTTAAAAAACTTAACGTGTTTAGTACCTAAACTATCATTTTTTATTGTTTTAGTATGTAAACTCTCAGTTTTTTTTTTCAAAAATTTAATGTTAAATTTTGAACGGGGTACTAAAATAAAACAAAAACTAAGCTTTAGGGTGTTTTTGAACAATTAAAAGTTTTATGTACTAAAAGACCAAAACTAATAATTTAGATACTAAATGCATAGTTTACCCTTTATTTTTAAGCAAAAAGGCAACCCAACCCCTATACTTTAACAAGAACCCAATGTAACGTTCTTACTATTTTTCTCTTAATGTGAGTCATTCAACTCAGAAAATAAATTTATTATAGCCGTTTGACCAACATTTTGCGTTGTTCACTATTGTAGTGCTAACGTGACGGTCTACAGTGCTAACGTGACGATCTACAGTACTAACGTGATAGTCAACTATAGCAGATGACATGACAGATGTGTTAAATTTGTTTTTATTTTATTTTATTTTGTTTGAGGGCTAAATTTGTTTTTTAAATTCAAGGAATTATTTAATTTTTTTTAATTAATTTAAATTATAAATATAAAAATATTTAAATATTCAAAAAAATAAATATAAAACATTAAAAATAAAATATTAAATATTCATATTAAAAATACTAAGGTGGTGTTTGTTTTCAATGTTTAAGGTCTTCAAAGCTCTTATGTCTGCGCCACGCAGACATTGGGCTTCGCAGACCGTTTGTTTTTTAGAAGACATAAGCTCTTCTAACGTCTGCGCGTTCTCTTCTTGGCGCAAACGTGGACTTATGTCTTCAAAACTCTTCTAACCTCTTCAAAAAACCATTTTTACTATTAATTTTTTAAAAATTATAAAATGTCATTAAATTGAATGAATTATTACAAAATAGTCACTATAATGTTGTAATAAATTATAAAAGTTCGATAATATAATAATTATTTTATAGTATTTAGATAAATTTATTAATAATTTTATAATATTTTAATAAATTTAATAAGTATTTTATAATTTTTTAAACTTTATTGACGAAAATGATCATTTGTATATAACTCAACGATATCTAATATATTTTATTTGAAAAAATATATTAAACTTAGTAAAAAATATTATACAATTAAACTTAGTAAACTTTTTTTTATATAAAAACTTAGAAAATCACGGGGACATACAATTATTAGCATTAAAAGACAAAATAAATGGTTTAATTAAAAAATATTCACACTATTGAAAATTCTGATTCTTATCATTTAATTATGGTAAAGTACGAAAGTCCCTTTATACAGAATAAATAAATAAATAACAAATAATATATTTTTTCTAAATAGAAAAATACTAATTGATGTATATTATATGGAGTATATATTATATATATTTTTTGATGTTACTAGAATCGGATTGTACCACTCGAATAAATTAAGATGATTTAAATGATATTATAAAATCAAGTATTGATATATTTGTGAATCGATAATAATTGAGAATTAAAATATAATTTTTTAACAATTACTTAAACCGAAACAAACAGATTGAATTAAAATCAAATTGATTTCATTATCGATTGATTTAATAATTTTTTTTAAAAGGATATATAATATTAAAACCAAAATCTAATAGTCCGTAGATGTAATAATTTATAATAATAAAATTCGTATAATATTTATTTAATATATTTTTTCAAATAAAATATATTAGATATCGTTGAGTTATATACAAATGATCATTTTCGTCAATAAAGTTTAAAAAATTATAAAATACTTATTAAATTTATTAAAATATTATAAAATTATTAATAAATTTATCTAAATACTATAAAATAATTATTATATTATCGAACTTTTATAATTTATTACAACATTATAGTGACTATTTTGTAATAATTCATTAAATTTAATGACATTTTATAATTTTTAAAAAATTAATAGCAAAAATGGTTATTTGAGTATAGTTTAAAAAATCAATTTATTTATATTTCAGTTTATTTTAGCAGTCTGCAGACGTTAAAAAACAAACAGTCTTCTTCTTGCAGACTGCAGACTTTTGGTCCACCTCTTATGCTGCAGATGCCTGCAGATGTGATCCGCAGACTACAGACCTTTTACCTCTGCAAAAACAAACACCACCTAAAACTATCATTAATTTTTTTTTGAATATATATCATAGGTTATAAAAGGACAACTTATAAATTATCAAAAAATTTGACAATGTTTTTAAAAAGATATATTATACATAATATATACATGTAATATATATTATCAACACTTATATAAATTATTTTTACTGGATCAATCGAAATTTAGAAAATTTAAATTATTCGAGATTTACAAATTTTGGATTAGTAAAAATTTATTAGAATAATATAATTATCTTTTAAATTAGTGAAAATTAAAAAATAATATGTTTTAACTAATCCAAAAATTATAAGTCGAAGAAAAAATCTTACTCAAGCCCAATGTACACATCTAGGTCTAGTTAATATGCCATAGACCTATTTAGATTGTAAATTCAAAAAAAAAAATCCATTTTGTAAGAGTATACATTGCAAGTCTGCAACATTGACCAAAAACTACAGAACACGAACCCTACAAAACACGCTTTACGTCTGCCCCAATGAAAAAAGCTTGTCAAAATTAATCAAATCAAACGAGCACTGGTTGCAAAGGTTGTTACTGATGTCGGATTCGGACATGGAAGCAGCGGCTCAACAGATTATTCAACTCTGCGATGAAGGTAACAAAAACAGCGATGAAGACATCAACAACAACAACAACGTTAAAACAAAGATCAAAGGCAAGAGATGTTTTGAAAAAAGTCAAGAGAGATAACTTGTGCAATGATGGAAGAGATTTTTGGGGAAGAAGAAGAGATTTCCAGACCGATTAAGAAGAGGAGGTATCGGTTACTTGAGAGTATTTACAAGGAGACTAAACCCTTGAAGGTTAGATATGGCAAGAATTTATGTTGTCGCTATGTGTTTTTGTTTAGAAATTAAAAGATAACTGATGGCTTTAGATGATTGAGTTTGGCATCAATGGCTGCTTTTCCTTTCAACTGCGCATTCACCTGCTATTCTTTTTCTTGTCCATGTATTCATTCATCCATCATTCCATTGGGGGTTCTCCAATGAAGAATTCAACGTGTTGCATTTCTGTGTATATGTAGATTTCTCATGTGCTCCAACCTCATGTTAATGTAGTGACAGCATTCCAACGATACCTTTATCGTTAATAACTGCTATTGTTTAAATAGCGGAACGCTATTTGAATTTATGACGGTAACCCCTTGTCATCATTTTGTGTCCTTTGGTTTTTCTTTTTTCTTTTTCGTTTCTTGCTATATGGTGGAGGTCGGCAATTTCTTTGCATGTCTCCGTTGACGCTGCCGAACGGGGTGGTGATGGGGTGGCCCAC